TTTTTGCTTATTTCAGTATATTTTAAGTATAAAATAAAATTTTAAGTTTATTTTAAGTATATTTTAGCAAAAATATTTTTTATAGGGAAGGGGAAATAACTGTATATTCAGCTATTAACATATTTTATTTTATTTTCAATTTTCAATGATTTTGCAAATTCTAAGCTCTTTTTTGTGACATCATATCACTTAAAGGAATACTGACTACTACAGCTTGACTCATTTAAATTTGCATAGCTTTATCAAACATTGGAAATAAAACAAAATGTTTATGAAACATTTGAGATATTGTAGTATTTGTAAGAACTGTAAGCCATTTACTTCGATTTTGCCAAATTTTAGCAATAATTGACCAATCGATATTGTATTCAGGGTATTTTGTATTAATGTATAAAACAACATCAGCCTGCTTTATATTTGGATTAACTTGTATATATTCATATATTTCTTTTTCATATCAAAACTAATAGGAGTGCNAATGGGATAGCAATTCAGTGTTTAGCAGACACTTGTGCTAACGCGTCTTTTATTCAGAGGGAAGCCGCTGAAGAATTAGGGTTGGATATCGACAAGAGTATTACACATAACATATCCGGCGCTCAGGGTTCTAATAGGACATTAAGCATGGTAAAAGGTGTGTCAATCAAACTAACCCCTGATTGTGTAATCACTGAGAATCTCGCGGTTTTAAGCGATTACAAGCATAGGGAGATTGGATTGAGCCGGACGTGTCTGAAACGTTACAATTATGATGTCCATGAATCACGAGAACATATCGCCCTTACTTGTAATGAGAAGAATGTTTTTATCCCGATAGTTTCTGATGTGAATCGAGGAGACAAAAAATAGGGAATATTTATTTTTTATTCCCAAAATTTGCGAATTAAATCGGGAACATCCTCCTCTAATCTACTAGCGGGTTCCCAAGTGGCTTCGGTATCTGGGTATCGTTCCCACTTGATTAGATACTGGTCTTGACCCTTCCTGATGCGATGCCGGAGTATCCGCTCAGGTACAAATCTTTCGGGTTGCCCTCTTATCACGGACTCAGGTGGGAGATGTTCATTTTCTGGAACAATCTGCAACTCTTTTCGGGTGTACGCACATCTGGATACACCTAGACGCCCGTGTGGTCCATCAAGAAGATACGTAGGAGGCTGTTCGGGTGAGAGGATCATTTTTTTGATGACACGGATATTGGGATTCCATCTTATGTCACCTGTACGAAATTTTCCATGGAGTTTATTCCCGAGTACTGAAATAGGTTCGTCTAACTTGACTCGGACATGTATTCCTTCAGAGAGAAGTTCCGTCTTTTTTGACACCTTGGGTGACCCAGTCGGAATGTCTGGAGGATTTCTTTGCCAGATTTCATCTATTTTACTAACCACATCATGGAAATCTTCTGACCATTCCACGGATGTCACCCCAGTCTTCAACTCCTGTGCCACCATTCGTTTTAGGAGAGGTTCCTGGATTGCTTGGATGGCTCGTTCAGCGTATGATTGCTGTTTGTGTCTTCCTGGTTCGCCGAACCTCATCATAACCCCTAGGCTGTTCAGGAAAAAATCACGTACCTGATCATTAGTGAATTCTGATCAGGAGTCTGTCTCTATTCGATGTGTTGGTGGCTTAATGCGATTTCTTCTGTAGATTTTAACAAATCCATTGAGAACCTTATTTGCAGTTTTATCCTTTAGGGGCTCTGCATCGACTCGTTTACCCGCGACTTCTACCACTACGAGGAAATAGTGGAATCCTTTGGGGTCGACTGGCATCTCTGCGAGATCTGCCTGATGAGTCGCATTTGGTTTAAATACAACTACTCGTGGACGCTCTGATGACTTCTCCTTTAGGGGCTTTTTGTATAGGTTGTAGTGCTCCTCACCTTTTAGAATTCGTGCTGGTACTCCGGAGAGATTGTAGTATTTGTAATAATTCTCTAAATGCGACATATTACGACAAATTAAAGGAAAGATTTTGGACTTCAAATCTTAAGATGACACGATTTTACTGCCTAAAGTGTAAGAAGGAAACCGAGACTGCTAGTGAAATACAAGATATGAC